TATAATATAAAACATTAGACACGTTTAAATTTAGTGCCAAGACATAAAGTGTGGCATAAATTGAAATGTTTAAATTTAGAGCCAAGTATAAGACATAAAGTGTGGCATAAATTGAAATTCACAATGTGAAAAAAATCTAAGTTAATTTTAGTTAAGACTTGAAGTATGGAAAAATATGTAAAAATGTAACAGAACTCTTTGGTATCACAATAAATGTAAACGTAAAACCAAACCGCCCAGGACGTACAGTTACCCAGCCGACTGCAGCCACTGAATCTTTATATGCCTTTAAAGCTAGCGCTAACGGAGGCGGCCGAGAGTTTTCATTTAAACAGTCGCTGCCTATAAACAGCACACATTACCTGTTAATGAGAATTAAAAAAAAAAAATCCAAAAACAAACGACTGCACTTCCAGACTTAAGTGCATCATATCTGCTGAGCTTTAATGAAATGACCGGGCTTCAGGGTGTTTCTGTCAGACTCCACTTTATTAGCCTCGTAAACACACGCGCACGGGTCGGATTCATTATATTATTAAGTGCTTTTTGGTTAAGACGAGTCCAAATCAGACGGAGGTTCGAGGTCTGTTTGGTTTGAGATGTTTACAGATATACTGTGTCGTAACTTTTCATTAACCACAGGCTAAGAAACGGTCATAAAAAGAAAAGAAAAAGTCATTAAAAAAATGCTCTAATTGTGTAGAGGAGATGATGGAGAAATAGTTCCTTAGATTCTAGTATTTTTGTCTCCGTACACGTGGATAAAACTGTTTTGTTATAAATAATAATAAATAAAAATGTACTGAAAAATAACCGATAAAATTCTGACTTTGCTTTTAAATTGTGGTTCAACAGAATAGACTTTGCTTTTGAATTGTGGTTCAACAGAATCATACGAAAAATCAAACTAATGGACAAAATAATAAGATAAATGTACCATCATATACATCCAGGGGTCAGGGGTCACGGTGACCCCCCTGCTCATTTGGGTTTGAGACCCCGGCTGGGTTTAGAGACGTGAGGATGCAGCAGTACCTTTTACCGCAGTTCTCCGCTGAATAAGCAGCGCTCAACAGGAAGTGGAAATTAGTGCTGGTTACGAACGAACGACAAATGTTTTTACAAGAATTCACACGATGAGGTTTCAATAAAAATGTATTTTGTTGCCGGGGCTTCAAACATGTCACAGAAGGTGAAGTATTTTTAATAAGTGTTTATATTGTTTGGGTGTCAGTCATGATTGAGTTGGTGCACAGTGATTGGTTTAAAAAGAAACTGTACAGCAGGTGGTGCTATTGTTAATTGGTATTATTGAAAATGTCAGTCACCAAAGTGGAACGACTCCATAATCAACTGCTTTTAGGCAATAAAAGAAAAATCTTTGTGATGACTCACGGAAAACACTTTGGCTACATTTCAATTCCAAAGAACGGAAATTGCACTTTTCCAAACCAACCAAGGCTACAGGAACAGGAAGTTGGCGTCTGCTTTAAAAAAACAACAAACAAAAAACAAAAAAAACAACAAATTATATGTATTATATGGGATGTGTATTTTCTCTGAGTGGTAAATAAATCACAAATATACTGCAAGTACAGCAGAATACAGCAGAGCTCCAGCGACGGCCGGGGCTGAACGGAGGCGTGTTTTGTGTTTTTCGTGTGCAGCTCGGACTGAGCTGAGTCGTTCAGCACTCAACCCAGACCTGGTACCATTCAACAGACGAGAGCAGCGGCAGATCTGAACGAGGCCACACGGTCAATATCTCCCCTTGTCCTCGCTGCTTGAATGACGCACAAACTCTGAACACAAGTGTGTGCACTCATATATGTGCACTCATATATGTGCACTCATATAATGCACCGTTCTTCAGAGAGACTCTCGCTTTGTGATCTTTATGAGACGGTGAGTCAGTCCACCTCCTAAGATACTTTAATATTAAACGCATATTAAATAGAATCAAACAGGAACAGGAGCGACAGGGTGCGAAAAAAGCTGCAAATCCTAAGCCCGTCAGATTTGTTCAGAAAAAAAATATGTATTCATGCTAATGAATTTAAATATATATTGCTGGTCAATATCAAGTATATCCAGGTCAAAGTGAAGTATTTAGGGCATGAACTTCCAGTGTGAGGTCAGCAGTAATGGTGAGAAACACACTGGTCATTCAACACCATCAGTGTTTGACCCTAATGTGACCTGCAGCACAGCGACTTCAAGGAGTGGGAGACCACCTCCTCAGAAACATCTCCCTGCTGTGAACCACCGACAACTGTGGACCACAGTGACATCACGCTGCCCTGAAGGCTCCGCCCACTCACACCAACATGACTGACATGATTTAAATTCATCCCATTCATTCAATATGACTTTTTTTCCTAATAAATTATAATTAAATATCATTTTTAAAAACTAAAAATTCTAATTCAAGCAGGCCGGATTGAAGCCCCAAGCGGGTCGGTTTTTGGCCCGCGGGCCGTACCTTTGACACCAGCGCTCTAACCCATACATCAGGGACCATTAATGTAGTCAATAATCTAAATGTTAAAGCGCTGGACGTCTCTAACGTTGACAGTTATTACTGTTATTGGTGTGTTGTTATCATTATCATTATCACAGGGACATGAATCGACTGTTGATTGGCTGCTGACATTCTCATGTTGAGCCACGGTCCCTCAGGCCACGGCTGCACAGATGTCACTTTATGCTAATTGGCCATAAAATTATCAAAATGGCAAAACAAGGGCCTGACGACAAACACAGCCACGAGGTGTGTGTGTGTGTGTGTGGTGTCACTGCCACACCGTCGGTACATGCTGCACCCCCTCAGCCCCCCCCCCCTCCAAACAGAGCTGCGTCTCCACATCAAGACCGTCTGAAGAAATCATCCCTGCTCGGGAATTCAACCGCAGACTACGTCAGTGGACAGGAACACAGCCGCCCAGTGTGTGGGTTAAATACTGAGAAATACATTCTGTACTCTGTCTGTTGAGGGTTTTTTCAAAATGTGGGATTTTAAACTTTCAAAATCAGGGCAAAAAAATGGTATTATTTCACTTGTAGGAACTTGGTTTTTCCTCCAGTCGACTGCTCCACATTAACTTTGAATGAAGTAGTTGTGCGTCAGCAGAATTCACTGCACTGCACTGCACTACCAACAGCTGACTGGATGGCTGTATATTCATTACTCAGGTGGATCTAATAAAGTGCTTGGTAACTGTGTTTAATGGGAGTTAGCGGGCAGATGTTGAGCCTCGGTTTGAGGAGGCAGTGCTTCTCAAAGTGGGTCTAAAATAAAACCTTTCACATCATCAGTGTCAGATTTCCACCAAAGTACACACTGAGTATCTAGAAACTGCAACACATGTATATAAATATATACACAGTATATATTTATCATTGGCCTCGTTATCGTTACAGGCTTTTTACTCCGATAACGCAGTGCCTGGGTTTCACCAAATGACGTGTGCCATAAATGTAGTTTTGGGGATAAACGGATGTATATTAAAGCAGTATTGCCGCTCATTTAATTAATCTTATACTCATACAGTAGTTTGTAGAGATATTAATAAAAAGTATTAGCAGACCTACATCAGCATTGGTCGATATCGGAATCGGAAATTAAGTGTTTAGACAATATCGGCAAATCGGATATTGGCAAAAAAAGTTCATATGGGACTGATATACATTGCCAGGCTTCCACCACTACTCCACTTATTTGATTGGTCACAGGCCAGTGATTGACAGGTGACACCATCATGGAGCCTTTGAGTACCCAAAGAGGCACATATACCCCGACTTGAGAACCACTAGTATAGAGTAAGCGTTCCAATTGGCTGCTCTGGCTTTGATTAAGGCTCAGGCTCATTGTTGAGTTGCATCATCTGTTTACCAGAGCCCTCTCCCAGCCCACCTCTCAGGCAGCAGCAGTGGGCGTCTGGTGTGAGTGTGGAACAGCAGCGCCTCTTTGTCAACATTGATTTCTTATGGCTACAAAGTATCTGACAGGTGAATGTTAGAGAGCAGGGACAGAGTGTATCCACCTCACAGAGACGCATAAATATATAAACATATAAGACACAAGAGGGAGAATCACACAAGCCCTTCATGCAGTCCCTGACCACTGGACTCCAATCTCAACTATAACAAATACACGTCTAATCCTAATCTGGAACTCCATTCTAATCTCAACTATAAAGTGAATCTCACAACCGCAAAAACGTTGACCCTGACTCAGTGGGGACCTGCAAAACGTCCCCACAAGGACACAGTGTCAGCACAACATTAGGGTTGTTGTTTTTTTTTCAAATGTCCCCACATGTATAGCTGTACCAGAAACACACACACAGGGAGGCAGTGAAGGAAGAAAACGAGGAATATATTCAGTAGTTGGTCATATGTTACTGGGGCACACACTCACAAACACACACACACACATATATATAAATATACTGTATATACATATATAAATATATACATAAATACATACATATATAAACATATATGTACGTGTGTACATATATAAATGCATATATAGGTACTGATATAAAAATACTCATATACATTCATACGCATATATGCTATAGCTCTACACCCATACATAAACATATATACACAAACATAAATATATATATATATTGCCAAATCAACCACTAGGCGAATACAAAACTAAATATAAACAGTCTCCTTACTGCACACTGTGCAGAAAATTATCACAAAATCCAGCGTAAAAAACGCAGAGTTAAAAAACCACGTGTGACACAACATAGGGTGCGTGGTCGTGCACAGAGAACATCATTAAGTATCCATAACCAACAAGGGAGCAACAAAGTGTGCAGATCCACCATCAGATCCATCACGACGTGACGCCTGCACACAGCGCACACACACACACACACTGACCATCTACAAATATCAAACATTTCCACGGTGCGTAAAAGCGCACCACCGCGCCGCCTCGGTTTAACACAGAGTGAAGACAGACAGGAGGCATCACTCACCGAGGGTGTGGACGCAGGTCCAACCCGTGCGTCTCTGGATGTGTAGCCCTGTGGTGGAGTGGAGAAGGTGGAGGAACCCGTGCAGCAACGGAACTAGAAGACGGCAGCAGCCGTGCGCCACCGGCCGACTGCTCCGCTCGGTCCCCACCTCACCGCAGAGACACTGGCCGAAATAATCCAGGCATTTTCCTTTGCTGTTCCTCGGAGACCCACTCTGTGGTTCGCGTCCCAACTTCACAGCTGATTTTCTTGATGTTGAAGTTGAAGACAAACTCCCTACTGGCAGATCTGAGTCCTCTTGGTGTGGCTGTCGTTGTGGCCAACCGTTGCCAAAGTTCGCGTCTCAACGAGGCAACAATCCCAGCAGTATTTCTGATTCTGCCGTGTTCCAGTCCAGTCCAGAGCCGCGGAGGAACTCCTTCATCAGGAGCTCTGTGACGCACCTTTCGCCCGGACAGAGAAGCGCAGGTATCCACACTCACAGAGCCACCTCCGCTCCCTCAGCGTTTGTCGCATGTATCAACTCCTCTGTTGTATTTCCATCCGTTCCGTTTGGACCTCGTCACACGCGCACGCAGGCAGACACGCGCGCATGCACGCACGCACACACACACTGTGTTAATCCCGGTTGCTCTTCCAAGTGGCGTAACGGAGCGTCTCCTCTCGGCGGCGCTTCCTGCTCCTCTCTCCCCTCTTCTCCCAAACTCTGGCCATCCTACTGTAGTAAAACCACACCCCGCTAGGCTGCGATTGGCCAGAGCCGAAGAGGATGATGAGGAAGGAGGTGAGGGAAGGAAGAGAGGGAAGGAGGAGAGGGCGCAAGCGAGGATGAGCAGCATACAAAGGAGAGGAAGAGGATGGAAATCAGCGGCGGTCGCTGCTCTGGGATCTGGGGAGGCTCACTTTAGTCCCGGTTATTCTAGTTCAAAATTCTGCCTCCACACCCACAATAATAATAAAAAACAACAACAACAACAGGAACAAGGAAACACAAACACAACCTAAAGAATAAAAACATATTCAGTTCAGTACAGGATGTAAACAAACGGTGGTGATGGAATACAGGATTACAGGGTTCCTGAGTAGAACCCTGGGTTTTCAAGGTGACACGACCCAAAAATACTCCATCTATAGACTTCAATGAAGACAGTGCTGCACTTCACAAACTCTGCATGGAAATGACACAGAAAATGGGGGCAGTCCATACATAAAAAAGTGGTTCTAGTCTGCTTAGGATTTCATCCAATCCTCCTGCATCATTAGACTTTGAAAATGTGGTTTTAGCTTTTGGTTATTTTAGCATTTCGTGTGATGTTTCCAGCCTAACCTGATGGATTTGTGTCGATGTGTTTTGCAGGGACAATAAAAAGTACTTGTGAATAAAGTTGTCAAAGTCCTCCCCCACCAACAGGGTTTAATACGCTTTACAGCTGATTCTGAATAAACTAGTCGTATTGTTGATCATATTTGACTGCACTCACAGTAAGTTATAGATATCAAAACACCAGTTTATTCGACTGTTAATTTAGTGGAAGATTAGAGGAAGCTGAACCTCCTTTGCGGTCTATAAAACAAGTGCTACTGATGAGGGAGAAGAGAACTGCTGGGCAAAAAAGAAGTGAAGAGAGGTGAAGAAGAATGAGGCTGGTTAGAGCCCAAGAAGAAAGACTCGCTCTGGAAGTCTTTTTTTTTTTTTTAGCACCTTAGCCAAATTTGTCTTCAGTTCTGTTCTGTCTCTTAGTAAATTTGATTTGAAAAAAAAAAAAAGGCTGCAGAGTCGGCAAATTCATACAGGGCTGTTTGCCCATCCTTTCAAGCCTGGTGTCTATCGGCTCCTTGGTTCTGTAATGAATAAGTAAGTTGGTAAGGGGATAGCTGGTGAGTGAAGTGCATGCTGAGTATACTGCCACAGGGCATCAGGAAGGAAATACAGTAAGTAACAGCGTGAGCATCCCCGCTAATGGGAGCCAATGAGGTGGTCCGGATGTTGTTGCGCCACATATGGCGTAAGAAAAGGACCAATTAAAAGCACCTGCACGGCTCCTGGGAGAGGCGTTCACTGACGCTCACCCTCCAGAGAGGTCTTGAATGTGAACTTTGAAAATCACAGACACATGAGACGATTATCGCTCTCAATCATATCAGAGTGAGAATCGCTTTCCAGTCTTGACAGTATTTTCTCTTCACCTAACAAACAGCTCCACAGCTACTGCCTGATGGCAGATGTTAATTAAGAAATGATCACATCAGCAGCAGGGTGATGTGATGTCGTTCACATCCCCCCACTGCCATAAAGAAGAGTCGGGGAAAAAGGAAACCAAACGGTTGCAATTCTGGATTTACACACAGATGGTGCTTTTACAGGAAGTCTGGAAATAAGGCAACAAAGAAACTCCAACATAGACCATTGGAAAATAACGGACATCACTACTTCCATTGCAGGTTAATGTTGTGAAGGAGGACTGGTGAAGAATGCTGGGAAAGCTTTGTTGTTTTAGGAAGTGACACAGAAATGTTTCTCCTGAAAACAAAATAACATGAAAACATCACAGACATATATAATATATTATAATAAAATACTTGTAAATGTATTTGTGTATATTTATTTCAACCTATAAATAAATGATCACTAAACAGTTTCAGATATTTCTAGTTCCTCATTTAAAAAACATTAGATTCAACAATTAAATTTGTATGAACAATAACATCGTGCCAGCACACATGACTAACAGAACAGGTCTTAGCACCACCTGCAGGCCTGAAGGGTTAGTGTTCAATGTTGACAAACAGAATAGTGTGATCACTTACAGAAAATAAAAAACACAGTCTTCACCTTTGACCTTTTTGTAAATGTACTATATATAAATGTATAAATGTTGCTGCTCTGAACAAGAGAGAGAGAGAAAGGGAGGAAGGGAGGCAGATCCAATCAGCAGCCCCTGAACCACCTCAGCCGCGGTCAGTCCAGCCTCACCCATTCATGACCTGCGACGACTACGGCTCAGAAGAACGGCAGACGTCACTGGTGTTGGAGGAGCAGCTCTGCTCTGTTTGGCAGAGAAGAAAATAAAATGGGTGCAGTGCACAGGCTTGCAGCTCTGCAGGAACGCCAGCATCTGGTGCATGTTGGAGAGTGGCTGGAGCATGAACACAAACAGTTGAACAGAGAGACTCCTTCATATTCAGACAGTCAAAGATGGTGTAGCGTAACAACAGATAAAAAAAATAAATAAATAAGGCTCAAATGTTAATACTCAAATAGATAGATAGATGCATGAATGGATAGCTAGAATATATAAATATAGACGCATATATGTAAATATATACTGTATATATAGAGAATATATAAATATGGACGCATATATGTAAATATATGCGTATATATAGGCATATATATACGTATATATGTAAATATATACTGTATATATATGCATATATATTTACATATATGTGTATATATATGAATATATATACACACATGTAAATATATGTGTATATATGTATATATATATATATATAAATATATATATTTATATATATAAATATATACATATATATGTGGACGTTATGGGAGACATAAAACTATGATTATACATTTTATGAACGTCACCACTTCCATTTAATCACAGGTCATGTGGACAATCCAAGGTCTTTAAATTCCAATTCCTCAGTACAAATCACCTTCACTTAAGCACATGCCTCGCACCGTTTTTATGAACATGCAGAAGCCGACCCTCATCACTTTCAGCTATAGGGACAATTTTATCGGCCCACACGGCTCCACTGTGACATTCGGTGTAATGAAATCCCGGTCCTCATTTTTATATGTCCCCATCAGAATAGGCTTACCCCGGCTTTTTGTCTGCCCTCATCCCCACCCGCCTTCATTACACAAGCCAGGCAATAAAGCAGCGTGTATATAAGGACGTGACGAAAGAGTTGCAAATAAAGTACAGTATGTGTACTCACAGCAGGACACAAAGGATATTTGCATCATTAAAGCCTAAAGGACACTGCCTAGCAACAAATTCATGAGCTGAAGATGTTTTTTTTATTCATTTTATCTAGGAAGCTCCCACTGAGATCAGAAGAGAACCTGGGCCTGTTTAGTTGAACACAGTGCACAGATAGACCCACAGGAGTTGAAGAAAAACACAGAGCTTTTCAAGAGCTCTGGTTCTTCCTTTTCTCTCAGTTTTTATGGCCATCAGCTGCCACCTAGTGGTATGGTAATTAAAAATCCACCCCTGCCATTGTCGCTTAGATGAACAAACACCAATAGTTTTTAGATCAATAGAGTGAAATTGGATAATTCCCACGCCCCCCCGGGTGATTGAAGCTAACACTGTGTAATAATTGAGGGAAAAGACAAACCAATATTTCCAGCAGCTTTGAAACGCTAACACAAACACTTGTTATTGTGCCGCCTGATGGACGACCACTGGACTAAATTACAGTGTTCCACTGTCATTCTGTAAATCTGTGCAGTTTGTCATATTTAATCACACAATAAAGTGGCCTTAAAACCATGTTGGTTAATTAGTCAGATTAAATAATTCACTGCATGAATTAAAGAAGTGCACTTTGCAGTAACCAACCAGATGGCTGCGGCAGATTTCCTGACACCGATGGTGAATATTGGCTGCTCTCCCCACAGTGGTCAGTTCGTTGGAGCAGCTGTCCTTTTTATCAGTCGGTCTCAGGAGATAAGGCTGCTGTTATTGGACCTGGTCAGAAAACTAAATCATAGCTGTGTTCAAGATACGTACGTGCTGCTGGTGATTTTACACAGTTCCATTTAGTTTATTTCACCTTTTTGACCATGTATTTATTGAAATCATTCACATATATATATGTATATTATTCATGCCCTAACTTTGAGGGTTAGACCATTCACCAATGACACGTTCTGCGTCTGTGTTTCCACCTCCGTCTGCTGGAGCCACTGCTGCTCCGTGCAGCCATTACTCCACCACTGTACTGCATGTACTAATCTATCAGCATAAACAACAAACACTACGATTAGGGAGAAGTAGTGGTTCCACTCTGGAAGTTTGATCTGGATCCTCTACATGTGCCGTGTTTCATTATCCCAGATTAATAGACCCAGGTCCAGGCTACATGCCTGCACTGATGCTAATGGATGCTAGCGACTTAATGTACTTTATTCATTTCCTCTGTTGCCTGGTCTTTGTTTAAACTAATGTCCAAGAACAGAGCGATGTTTAATCCATTCAGATTAGTGCAGTTGGCTACGGGCTCTTGGAACACATACTAATTTGACAGACAAAATAATCCAGTGCACTGAGATTATCATTTTTGATTATTATTAATATATTTAATATTATATATTATAATATATATTTATTTATAATACAAATATTTATTATATTTAATGATATATTAAAATATTTATTATTATATTTATAATAATATATAAGACTGTATATATGATTATTATTATTTATTATTATTATTCGTGCTTCTCTTTTTTTTTTTAAATGACCTCATTCATGTTTTCATGTTGTAAAGGACATGCTAATGGCTACGACCACTCTTCCAGGACGTTGTGGCTGAGGAAAATCACTAATCATCTATAATTGTGTGCGGTTATGAGATTAGAAAAAGGTTAGCATGTTCGCATTAGCAGCCGTGTGTTGTAACGAAGGTGTTATATAGCTGGAGGTCTATAATTGTGTGTCTTAACAGCCACCTTCTTAACAGCTCTTGTCTAAGTGTCAACACGTAACAAGTGTGATTCTACCTGGAAAGTCATTTCTGCCTTAATGAGCCTGGAAATAGCAGAGGGGTGAGAGGCCTGCTATTCTCCCCTCACCTCCTCCCACAGCGGAGGCAGCGTTCCATAAAGAACAAAAATAAACAAAAAATTTAAATGACATTTCCAAAATCATCTTTGATGTCGGTGTTAACTTCCCAAATACGCGCTCCCGATGCCTTCAGCTCAACACGCTTCCTTTAAATATTTGGACTTTGGTAACGAGGATCCTTTATCTCCACGGGCTGCACCGCGGCGATCATGAATTTTCTTTGAAATTTAAGGGAGGATTAGTCTTCAGGGGAGGAGGGGGAGGAAGGGGGAGGATTAAATATTCACTGTGCTGCTCATTAATTCAACACAGTTGTTCGTTACTGTTCATTGTAAATGAATGTCTCTTACATTAAAGACATTGTAAAATGACTGCACTCCACACACGCTCTCTCTCTCTGTGTGTGTTTCCCACTTAGAACTCTTCTGGGTTTTTTTGTTTTGTTTTGTTTTTTTTTAACTTAAAGACTGATTTGGTTGATGAGGAGGAGCTCAGAGCAACACTCAACTGTAGCTTTATTAATTCATATAAATAATTAGAACAACATTGACTAATGACTAGCCTTTTTCTTCTCTCTGGATAAATGAATATGAACGTGTACTTTGGATTAGCTGGATTAGAAAAGTCACCTTTACTGGACATTCGTCATTTTGAGATGCTGGACCCTGGACCCTGGACCCTGAACCCTGGACTCTGGACACTGCTGGACGAGGACAGTCTTATAGACATGAATTATTCTCCAAACTGGAGAACTTCAGGTTCTGTGAGTCAGAGGTTTTTGTTGCTCATTTTGTTGCTCATGTTGCTCAGCAGTAATTCCTCAGAGCCCACACTGATCTCTCTCTGTGGAATCCCTGGAAATACTGCAGATTTCTGTGAGGCCCTATTTGGCAGCCCATACAGCTGCGGTGTGTGTGTGTGTGTGTGTGTGTGTGTGTGTGTGTGGCCCATTGACTGACCAGTATCCTCACAGTGTGTGAAGATTAAAACATTCAAAAATAAATGATATGAATAGAACCCAGACCCAGCCTGAACGCGGTGGTCCCGTAGTTCAGCGGTGAGCGCGCCTGCCTCAGAAGCACAGAGCAGAGAGTCCTGGGTTTGATTCCCACATGAACATGATGGTTAATCCTCCGCTTCAGATGAAAGCGTCTGCTGGACGTAAATCCACAGCGACCCGAGGTGGAAGTGAGAACTCTCCTGGTCGTTGGTGAAAGGTGGACTTTTAGAGGTGTCTTCCAGAGACAGTTCCTCCGTCACCAGGAGACCAGACGTCCCTTCATCCTGTTAGAGCTCTTCTCCTCCTGACACATTCATTAGACTCTGACAATGAAAAGACTTTTTTTCTGCTTTCATTAAATTGCTGATGTTAGAGAGCGGCCCACACGGTGGAGGAGTGGTGATTGATCTTGCCCTACAGCAAGAAATTAAAGTACACGTTTTTTATTTAAATTAATTGATTAATTTTACCCCAAATACCCCAGTTTCCTCGCTCCATCCAAAGAGGATCAGGTTAATGGGGCAGCAGCAGTCGTAGAGTAAAGACAGAGCGTTCACACCCACAGTGACACCTGTCGTCTCAGTAATCCTCATTCTGGTGAAGTGCTGGTACCATGGGAGGAAGTCTGAGTACCTGGAGAGACCCACCTGGACGT